GGACACATTTCTGGGTGCCTTAGAAGTTGTATTTTTCATGTGTGTTAATATGCAGTATTTATACATTGTGAGAAGCTGCTTTGAATAAAAACATTGAAACTTCATTTCAATGCAGTGATTTTCAGTTTTACATAATCAGAATGGAAGTGGTGAGTGGTGGCCATTCTAGATGATGATGTTGTTCATGGGCTGTGCCTTTTCCAAGAGAGCAGAAACAAAGAGCTTTTTAAAAGACAATTATTTTTCCAAAGGACAAAAACCCTAAAAGACACTGCAGTAAGAACTCTCTGAAGTCAATCATGGTCCATCTCATTTATCATTTCTTGATCCAAATCCAAGAAAGCTTTGATCATATCCAAGAAGACCACCCAGAATTGCCTTATAAATGCACTTCTAGGACACCTTCCCCATTCTCACTTCCACTGCTGGACATGTGCACATCACCTAAAGCACATCTGCCCACAACCAGCTGCTGAGGGCAGGATTTTGGCTCCACAGGAGGGAATTTGCTATTGAAGAGATATTTGCCAAGGGAGGCCAAGAAGCAGGGTGAAGGTGGATCACCCTCTGGCCCCTGTGCAGGGACACCGATGGGATTCCTGCCACGGGCCTCGTGTGTCCCAGGGGATCCTCTGGCTGTAGCATCTGGGAACGCTGTTTCCAACCACGTATCTCCCATGGTTAGAAGGGTGACTGTAAATGGCTTCTGCCTGGGGCAGAAAAGGAAGGATATTTGGACAGGGAGCCAGTGTTTGCCAAACCACCTGCACAATGAGGTCTGAGAAAATGACCTACACTTGATTCAAGGGACAACAGTTATGGTCTAGGAATTATGTTGGTTGGCTTTAACTGAGAGACACTGTTAGTAAAAACCATGGTCAGCTATTTAGAGCAGAGGACTGAGCAATTTAGTCTTGCTTCACTATCAACAAATCCAATTATTTATTACGGTGACTCTTGTCAGGAATTAACTTATCGTGGCTTCCACTGGACTGTGAGCAATGTGCACATGATGAACAGGGTGTGGCACCTTTCCTAACCCTTGTAGTGAGAACTTTGGGTCTTAACACAGATTGCCAACATGTGAGTTTCATTTGAAATAACTCATTTTTAAAAGAAAGTAAAAATTCTTTAAAATTAAAAACTCCGTCCAAATATTTTGGGGGAGTCAAGGGTTTTGTAATGCCAGTCCTTGTTGCAGAAAATTAATACACAAACATATTACATGGAAGAGGAACCAATTAAGAACATATAAAGGCCTACAAATTTAAACAAACAAAAGGCCTGTCTAGGAATGGCATGTATAAATTGCAGGTATTAATCCCACTTAAGATATAAAAAGAACTCAAACAGTCAAAGCTCCACCTAAACTAAGACATGCCATGGAATCCTGCTGGAATAACAGAAAAACAATATTGCATATGGGAAGAACAAGGAGAGGTTCTGAGAGAAATGCACAGCAGATGAAAGCATGTGAGAGAACCAGAAGGACACCATTTCACAGGCTGGGGGAGTTCAAAGCAAATCAAGTGTCAGAAGTTGGACTGGGGACAGTTTGGTTGTGAAGGAAAAAGTCAGGGTGAGATTCTGGATGAAACAGCAGGAATTCACCTCTTCTTGGTGCCTTGTTTCTCATGACACCCCCTCAGAATTTAATCAAACATAATGCATCTCTGCTGCCTGATTTAACCCCAAAACCGATCTCCAGTCATAGCATGGAGATTTTCAGATTACAAAGAAAGCCAGACTAACAGCCCCCTCTAGAATTCAAACCACTTGAATTGTTCTAGCACCATTTTGCTTTAATTTATACTCTTTCCTTGGCTTTACAAAATTTGCTCATTATAAATGTATAATAAAAAATAGAACTGTTAAAAACTGTTAAATTCCAATTATTAAGTCCATGTGGCTTCACACAATGATTTTCATCTGGGACTGTCAAAAGTTCTGTGGGACAAAGAAGAACTTTTCATTTTGAGAAAAGGAAACAGTTTATAAGTTAAACTGCATCACCTTTCCTTTAGCACTTCCAGACACTGGTGTCACTTAAACAAATCCAATGGATCTAAGTCAAAAGCCACCAGCACCAATGGAAATCCTCCTCCTGACTTCACTTGCTTCTAGATCAGCCCCAGTGACTGACAGATACCACAACAAAGTCCCTCACAGTAATAGTACAGGGAATATTTGTAGCCATCTCTTGAAGAGATAATGTGGCTCTGATAAGACAGATATAATTAGCATTGGAGGAAGGATTCCATATCCTTAGTTCGAAATTTAACAGCAGTGTCTGAAATTTTGTATGAATGTCAGTAATCCAGAAAGGTTTTTGATGTGTCTGTAAGTGGTACAATTTCTATGACTCAAAAAAGATCAGCCATTCCCCACTGCTGCCCTTCCAGCCGGGTCTGCCACACGCTGCCCACCAGGCTCTGGGGTATTCAATTCCTACAAGAGGTTCCCTAAAAGGATAAAGGAATTCACAAAAAGCTCTTCCCATGGATAATTATTCAAGACCTGCATTATCTTAGCCTCTCACTTGTTTAGTTTGTATGCAGCTGCAGCAAGTCAGTTGTCAGGGGCTCAGACTCTGGCAAACAATCCTCTTCAAGTCCAGTTTTTGTCCATTAGGCTCATAATGAGCAACAACTCCAAACTCCTGCCAGCTGCACTGCCAAGGGATGCCCTCCTGGTCCAAGGGCAAAGGGCAAAGTGTGACTTTGCTGGTTGGCAGCAGCATCCCACTGGTTGGAGTGTGGAGCTGGCAACTGCTTGACTCTGATCCTCCCTTTATTTCTAAAAGCAAGCCTTAATAATATCTTTTTTCCTGCCATAATGACCTTCCATCACTCCTTTGCACGGGGCTGCTCCTGGAATTATCTCCAAAGCCATGTCATTTATGAACTATAAAGCAATCTACGAGTTCCTCATGCCCATGACCATCTGAGAACAGCACTGGACATGGTGCTGGAACACCCACCCCTTCCCCATCCCCATTTCCATTCCCAGGCTGGGCCTGCCTTCACCAGACCAGAAAAACAGGATGTTTTATTCTTCAGGTATTTACATGTAACAGGAAGAAACAGACTTATTTCCCTGGATGCTAATGTGATGCCAGTTAGAAAGGAATATCCCAAAGCACATTAGACCTGGTAGGATTCACCTTCCATACATGTCTGTGACTAGTCAGGACACCAAGACACTGTCCCTCTCTAAATGAGGGTTTTTAAATAAATGCATTTTGTCTAAAAACATCCTGAACAATTAAACTGAGTAGGCTGCTCTGGAGCTGATTTGAAAGGCTCAAACTTTTCCCAACCATTTCAAGTCTGAGAAAATCCACCAGCTCTCCATTTGTGATTCAAGCACTTGGTAAACACACTCCACAACTGCACCGTGGCTGTGAGCCAACGAAATGGTGAGTCAGCAGGCAGGGGAGGGAATCAAGTGTCAAGAATGCATTTAACCCTCACTCAGAGAACACTTTTCTTACCAGCAGAACAAAAACTCGCCATAAAATGCAAAAAATTACTGGAAGCCTTTTCCTCCGTTAGTGAAGGCAACCATTGCAATTTTCTTCCAACTTTACAGGAGCTCTCAGGTTTTAAATTAGGACAAATGCTAAAGAAAACAGCAAACTGATGAGAAAGAGGTTCATGAACACATATCTGTGCAGTCCTGTGATCCCTACTCTGACAAAAATCCCAGTGGTAATCCCGGGAAGGCTGAGTGCTGAAGGGTTTCATGAGAGCATTAGAATCAATAATACTAAATACTCACATGGATATAAAAAGGAGTACATTTTCCTAATGAAAATACAGTTCAACTCGTGGGTCCTATTCCCAAAGGAGTATCTGTGCATGCTACTGTGCTTCACAGTGTTCTTTATGGAGCGTTTGATGAAATCACGAGATTTCCTAAATCATTTTTAAATTAATCCCTCTTAAGAAATCCCCCACTGAAGCATCACTTTGCATGCTCACTCTAGATACTCTATTCAGGGAGGCAAAAAAAACCATAAAAAGATTGAGGATTAAAAAAAGAAAATTTAAAGCAATATTTGAAAGAGGGCCCACTCTTCCACCTGAAGGTTTGAACACTCATTTACAAGGTTGTTAAACACTGCCAAACCAGAATGACAGCATTTTATACCTACCTTCTTACTCTTCACAGGTGTAAATAACCACATTGGACATCTGTGGAGGAGGGGAAAGGAGCAGGAGGAAAAAGACTCCAGTTGTTACCTTCAGAGTGTTAGTTGAGGGTCATTACAGACGAGCTGCGGATCTCCAGCTCACCCCCATTAGGGAACAGACCCCATTTCCAGTGGAAGGCTGAGGACAGGCAGCTCAGCCTAGGAACACCCCCACAAAGGAAGAGTTTTTTCACAATTCTTGCCCCACTGAGCTCCATGGCCTGTGCCACCTTCTCCAGGAACTCAACAGCCAGGACCATCCATTTAAAGCTGGACTGTCCTGCCCTGGTTAAACCTGGGCTGTGAAACGGCACAGAGCAGGATTGGTTTGTACACACGTCTAACATGTCCAGGGTGGGAATGCTCACAGCAAGGTTCCCTGCACACGTCTTGGAAAGTTCTTTCTCCCATCTAAAAACCCTCACAAAGCCTGAGCCTGAAGTTTAGACAAAACCTTCACCTGTGGCATTAAGAGACAAGCCCTGCCAAGCAAGGCCTGCTGGAGTGGTTGGAAGGACTTTCCCCCCAGCCTTCAGCCCTGCCTTTCTCCCAGCTGTTGGCAGCTGGGGCAGGGGCTGCACGTTGGACACACACAGGTGAACCAAAGGAGACACATTTGAGCTGCCTTTGAGCTCAAATGGCTGACAAAAATATAGGACATTGAAAGATGGCAACGTCCCACCGAGGAACACAGCAGCACAAAGGAGATTATCTCTTCAAACGCCACCTTCCCTCCACCATGACTTATGGACTGGAAACACAGTCTGACCAAAGAATAACGAGATGGGAAACTCATGTCACTCACTGTGAAGGATTCTGTCACTCGTGGAGAGAACCAAGTCCTGCTGAGCTTCAGTTCTGAAAGCAAATTCCCCATGTATTCTGCTCAATTCCTCCATCTGAGATTCCTAAAGAAAGAGGAATGGGAAAGACTGTCAGCTTGCAGCTTAGGGAGGAAAATCACAACACATCTTTCCTGTCTGCAGAAAGCTCTAAATGATCTTCCATCATTATCACAGCACTAATTCCCAGAAACCCTGCAGAACTCTCCAGAGCACTGTTTTATGTACCCAGCACTCCTCCATCAAAAACTGTCTTTAAAAAATAAACTAATAAATTCTAGTTACAAATAGACATTTCTTTGTCCATTCTCAAACACCTCTTTGGTTTTCTGTGTGGACATCCCTGGGAAATGTGAGATCCACAGGTCATTCCAGTTTACATGCTTTGAACCTACTGAACCCATCAGGAGAGTAAGAGACCAAACAAAATGACACATGCAGTGGCACCACAAGACTAATACAATTGCTGATTAAGCAGCAGAAAAATCTGAACACTTTACAGCTTGGTGGCTTGTTGTATGAAGGCTCTTCACCTAAGAATGTGAGTTATTGTGGAGAATTTTATTTATATAGTCTGTTCAATTTTTATGCAGAAAGCATTAGCAGAGACTGTTTTAAATAATTTCAGATACTCAGCACTAAATAAGTGGCTCACTTTCAAGAACCAACCAAGAAAAAACATTCCACAGAATGTCATCTATTCCTTTAGAAGGGGAGTTGTATTTCATCAGCATGGATGCTTAAGTGGAATAAGGCTCAGTATGGGGACTGTTTTCAGCAATAGTTGTTAATTAAGTAGTAAAGTACTAATAAAATGTTTAGGCAGGTTGCATTTAAATAAGACTATAATGATATGTAATTACTCAAAAAGAGTGCCAAAACCATTCTGCAATAGACTGTGTTCAGTTTTCATGCCCTGCCCAAATCCATTTGAAAACAGAAAGGATTCCAATGTCCACTGTACAGTGGCCAGGGCACAGGCAAGCTGGGAAACTTCTGCTCTCAGCCACAGAGGAGGACCTTTATTTAAAAGCAGACTCTTAAGTTTCTCTAACAGAAGCTACAGAAATTAAAAGAAAATATTCTTAACACACACAGGAACAAATAAACACAGAGCAGCAGCAGGGCCAGGAGCTCTTCTGCACGGTCCTCATGAAAACCCACCAGGCAAACAAGGAAGAGCCTGTGAGGAAGCACAATCCTCCCTGAACTCCCCACGGGGGCCACAGCAGGAACCTGGCCCAGCAGGACACCCCGAAGGGGGAGGCATTCAATTCTGAAGGAAACTTGGTGCAAAAGGTACCAAAATGCTCTGCTGCAGAGAGGTGTGGGGAGAGAGGTGCAATTCTCTGTTCTGGGTCAGCAGAAAAAGTGCAGGAGGCAAAAGGGACTTGGCACAGCCAGGAAGAGTTTCAACCAAAGGAAGATGCAAACATTTAAAACTGAGAAATGTGCCAGTGGAGATAAAGGCTCAGCAGAAAAAATAAAGATGAAGTTGAAATGCACAAAACTGCCATCATAGCAGAAATTAAATAAAAGTACTGGGGAGAGAAGTGTTTATATCTTAGATATAATTTATATTATTATCTCTAGAAAATAAAAACCAGCACCACCAAGTACAGAGAAATTTTGATTTTCTAAAGGCTCCTTTTACTGATGCCAGTAGTTCTTCACCTGTGGTATAAAGTAGCAAGTAGTTGACAGTCTAATAAGTCCCAAAGTTGCTTGCAGAATCTTTATATTCTTTAGAAATCTTTCTATTCCTCAATAATAGCCATTGGTGTCTTTTAGACTAATTAACAACAGGCTGCTGCAAACATGGTCCTGTTTGTTTTTAAATCAAATCAGAGTAACATTCCTGTGATTACTATGATGACAAATAGTTTATAAATACACATCATAATCCTGAAAATTTTAATTTTACTGTATGTTAAGCTAAAGCCTGGCAGGCCCTTCCAACTTAAACTACTTGGTGATTTGCAAACTAACACGGTACATCTCTGCCCCACTAAACCCATTTCCTGAGGGCACAATTCCACTTGTTTTTCAGGTGACCTGTGGAATGATGTCGTGGCAGCAACGGGGCTCCTTCCACGGCGAAGAAAACCAGGCATCTCCTCGTGGGATTTTTTCAACCTTTGCATCAATGGGAATCAGGTGCCAAATTTACAAAGCTGCTTTGAGAACCTGCCTTTTGTGCCTTCCCTGGCAACCTTTTCAGTGTCCTGGCAAAGCCTTTGTTCACCTGGAATTGTGCCAGAAGGCCCCTTTAAAATACCAAATTCCCTGGGTTTGGGAGCACTGCCTGACTCCACAGTGTCCACTGAGCCTGTGCTCAGTAATGCAGCTTTCAGTCACATTCTTAACATGTCCACGTGTTTAAAACCATTCTTTATTGAAAACAAACCTTCCTATCACCTTGCAAAAAACAGAGGTAGGATTTGGAGAGACCTCGATTATTTTTGCCTATGTATGACTTGCAGATGATCTACAAAAACACTAAACCACAGGCTTGGGTTTCAAATTAAAGCAGCTGACCACAGGTTACACACATGAAAATAACTATCTTTTTAAAACAGGAGAAAGGTCCTGTTCATTTGACAAGAATGGTACATTATTTTAGAGATTCCAGTCTTACAACTAGAAAAATAGGTCATCTTCAACTGATATAAAAAGATTTATAACCAACCAAGAACAAAAATCCAAACCCACAGGCTTGGAGTGAGGTTCTCACCCTGTAAGTCAATTAATGCTCTAAAATATCCTCATTTCTACTCTGCAAGACCTCACAATTTTCACTGTGGAAAACCTGTGCTTCGAGCATTAAGGAAGATGACATTTATATTATGGGAGTTAGATATGCAGTGGGTTAATGTTCTACTTTGTGAGCACATTACCAAGAAAGAACCTTCCCTTGGCACAAAAGGCACTCTTTTTCCTTTGCATTCAGAAAGCTGATTTCCCCATGTAACTGAGTCATCAAGGAGACTGAGCAGCACCAGCCAAGAAATAAAGATTATGGCATCTGCTGCTGCTCCATTCTGCCCTTGCTTTGGCTCAAACCCCTTTGTACTCGGGCACCACACTCCCTCCAGGATTCCTCCTGTCCAACGTGCACAGAGGTTTGGTCTCCAGATGTGATGATCCACAAAGTGGATCCACTCGCTGTGGGTCACACAAACCTTAAGATTCAGGCATTGCAATGCCAGACAATACAAGATCTGAATTAACAATGTGTAGAATCAGAGCACAGATTCAGGCCATCATTTGATATTAATATATCAAATATTGGTATTATTTGATTTGCTATATTTGTTGCCAGACAGGCCTCTAGAATCCAGAAGTTCATTTTCTGCAGAATTCTCTGTTATATTTTTAGGAGAATGATGTCTTCCTTTATTTCATGTGGTATTATATAGCCAGTGCTTGGCTACAGAGCAGGATGTTACACGCTGTCAGCTTAGAGCAGTGTCAGTTAAATTCAAGGAACCTTCCCAGACTGATTAGTAAATAACACTAAGTCATGTAATTAAAACCAAAACAGTAGGAGCACTGTGATACTGCATTGTCACTATAATCTGACAGAGGTTTGGGATATTTATAGCCACAGTCAGAGGTCAGACACGCTGCTTGTTTGTGTAAAATACAGCCAAGCAAAAAGGAAAACTTCTCCCACTGAAGAACTCCTAAAACTGGGCAGAGAGTTGGAAAATTCACCCGTTCCAGTGTGGCAGCAAAGGGACCAGTAACCCCAAATCCTTTTCCCTTTTTCTTTCCCAGTCTTGGATGTTGGTGCTAAGGGACTTGGCACTGTTAGATCACGTGTTAAGGCTGGACTCCATGGTCTTAAAGGTCTTTTCCAGCCTAAATGATCCTATGGTTCTATTACAACAGAGATAAGATCCTAAACCCAGATTTGTCCCCGTTGCCAAGATGCTGTGGTAACACAAAGACAGTTCCTGCCCAAGAAGGAGGAAAATTCCCCATCAGAAATGCAGCTATAAATACAGATACATGGAAATTTAATATTGGGCTTGCTGTACTAAAATCAATAAGAGATTTTTCACCAACTGGAATGGAAATAGGATCAAGCCCAGAGATGGGAGATGTGCCAGCTTTGCTCAGCAGTCTCTGCCCAGGCCTTGCACAGTGTCATTTATTACAATCAGCACATCAGAGGGAGGTCTTTAGGATCAATAAGAGGCAAAAAGAGACGCAGTAAGTTTGTATGAGATGTAAAAATGGCTTTTGAAGCTGGGGATCAAGAGACAATGAGACAAAAGACAAGCAGGAAGGAGCACAGGTTGGCAGCTGATACAAATCATTACAAGTCCAAGAGAACTGTGAAACATCTCCCTGAAAACAGGGCTTAGAAACCAACAGGGCAAAGCACAAGGAATGAAGAGGTTGAAAATGGGGTTTTACTCCAAGAAAAGAGGATGGCTGAGTGCTTTTTTTTATATACATAAAGGTAATTAGGAGAAATAAAATGTTTCTCTCAAAACTGAGACTTGGATTTACTGAATGGATTTGTTGCCAGTGAAAGGCTTTTGGTGAGAGAGCTTTTAGTGATGTGAAGGGAAGTAGGAACCAGCCTGAACACGAGGGACAGGGTAATGGACTGATTAATTTACATAGTATTTTGAAGCCTGTAAACAACAATTGTTAAAATAAGCCCAGAAATTTAACAATACTGAGCATTGAGTGTTCCCAGAGTGCACAGTGACATCAGTAGGCAAAGGAGCCGTTTGTGGCTATCACATGATTGATTTTCACGTTCATTTTTACAAACAGCATTTGATTCAAAATACATAAAGATACTTCCACTGTGACCGACAGCAAGACAAATGAATTAGGGGCTGCAAGCCAAAGAGCCTATTTTATCTCAAGAGAAGGGCTGCTTACTCATCTCTAGTCAACAGCCCCTTTTAAACACATTGAAAGTAATTTTAAAACCCCAAGGAATGATGGAATTTAAATGATTTGTGAGGGTGGAAGACTGAGAGGTTTTGCTACATGACCAGTTATTTACCAGAAAAATATCAGATGCTCTATTGCATTGTTTA